AAAAAATATTATAAATTATTTTACTAAAATTTTAAAAGTATTTAATTTGACAATCTTTATATGTATTTAATCTTTATATGTATTTGGAGCTTGTGTTCTTTAGGGTGGTAGCCACTTCATCCCCTCTCTCTCTCTTTTAATTGATTTATCATATGCTCATGTTCCTTTTAATGTAGTATATATGGTTACTCGTGTTTGATTGATCATTGTTAGGTGCAATAAAAAAAAGTTGCAAAATATGTATGAATTTCAACTTCACTGCAATGATTATTTGTAATAAAAAAGTTAGTTTTGCCTCTATTTTTAAATCAATGAAACATAAAAATAGCTTCCAAAATTACAGTGTCAATTAAGAAGTAGAAAAATGTTTATGAATTTGTAGAGTATATACATTCTCCATTTAATTTTGTTTCTTATATTTGTTTTTCAAGAGTCAAATTATATGAACTTTCACCTATATTTAATATGTATTTTTTTATTATATTAATATGAGAAACATTGAATCTTATAATATTTTTCATACAGCTTTCAAAATATTTAAATTTAAATTTTAAAATAGTGAATTAATCTAATTCAATTCAGCTTAAAAAATAGTTAAATTAACCATAAAAAAGTAAATATATGATAAGTAAAGTGAACGGAAGTAGTAATTACTTTAGAATTCAACATTGAGGTAGATATTATAGGTAGAATATATGAGACTCCTTGATGTAGATGATACAACACAATATCAAAATTTATCAAATGTTGAGTAAGAAATATTAATAAAGAGATTCTAAAGTAGTTCTCAACCAAAAAAATACATGAATTATTTAGTAATTAAAATAAGGGAAAATTGTACATAATAACAAACTATTAATTTAAATTAAATGGTATAACCACACTTTGATTTAATTGTGCCCTGTAACAAACTGTTTGCCAGTCGCCTCTCTCCCTCAAACTCTCGCTCGCCACTCTCCCCTCTCTCGCTTTATACAAACAGAAATGTATAAATTATGTTTTTGTTTGTATAAAGCGAGAGAAAATTGTATATACACATGCAAATACATATATCTTCGTCTTATACACTTATAATTATACAATACAAATATTCCTCTGTCCAGTTCTCTTTTGCCTTTCTCTCTTTTTCGCTCTATACAAACACAGATTATACAAAATACAATGTATAATTTATGTTTGTATAAAGCGAGAGAGAGAACGATATTTGATATACAAACATTTTATTTCGATTCAATTGTATACAAATTCAAATTTAATACAGATATACAATCACATAAAATTAAATTGAGAGACTCTCAACGATTTATACAAACGAGAGACTGACAACAATTTATACAAATGACCTGCCAGCGAAATTATACAAATCTGAAGAGGAGCCAGCGAATTATACAATTGCTTCTTTTGTATATATGTATAGCGAAATAGCCTAGTCATAGCATGTTTGCTATGGAGCGCAATTATGCAAACTTTTGCTATAGCATACAAATATGAATTTTGTGTTTGCTATATGTAAAAGTTGCGCTTAAAACAATATATGAGATTCCTTGATGTAGATGAATAACACAATATATCAAGATTTATCAAATGTTGAGTAAGAATTAATAAAGAGATTCTAAAGTAGTTCTCAACCAAAACAATACATACCTTAATTTGACCGTAAAAATGAATCCATTTAAATATCCTAAAAAAATATAACACATACAAATAAATTTTATCAAAATAGAATATCTAATAACACGTAAATTTCTCAAGATAAATTATGAAGATGCAAATTAAAAATAAAATATTGTAAATCTGCGAAGTAAAAAGTCGATATTATTTCTTTGAGTTCTCTATTTGATAACACATAATCCTACCTCAATTTAGTATAAAATAATATTTAAAAAAACATAAAGAATATATTTAAACAACTTACCATACATGTCACACTAATTTTTTACTTTTGTGTGTGTAAATTAGACCTTTTAGCCTTTAGGCATAAACCCAACAAACCTGCAAAAAGTGAAGCTTCACAATCACAAATAAATTGACAATATAAAAGATAAATAAGGAATATGAAAGAACATAAAGAAACATAGACATTGAATGTATTAATTGCTCAATTTAATTAGATTACAGTTATTGTTCAATGTTCACGGCCATGAAAAGGAAAAAAAGAGCAAAACGGATGTAAAAGGTAAAATGTATTAATTATTTGGTTTAATTAGAAATAGAAAGATTCATTAAATTAATGATAATGAATTTTGAGCTTTCTAAATTAATGTAATTAAGAAATAATTTGTAGGTTTTTAAATAAATTATATAAATGTAAAAAATTGGAAAAAGATAAATGTCATTCTTGGCAAGCATGCCACATCACCTCTCCTACATCTAGCTTTATTATATATACAGATTATTAACTTTTGAACTCAGTTAATTATTGTCACATGAAATGGTTATTCTACTATCCATAATTAGAGCCGTCAATATGGGATAGGCCTGTTGGGCCGGCCTGGCCTGGCCTAACCCGAAATTTAATAGGGTTGGGCTAAAAATTTTGGAGCCCATTTAGAAAAAGGGCTTTTTAGCCCGTCCTGAATAAGTCTGTTGATTTGTGGGGCTTGAGAAATATAGGTAGGGCCGGCCCATGGGCCAATAAAAATTAATTAAAAAATATAATATAATATTAAAATTTAAAATTAAAGAGATCCAAACTCAAAATCTATTTAAAGTTTTTTAGGAAATCACTAAGTATAGAAGTTGCATCCACCATGAAAATGTCCAAACACTTGTTGCTACTCGAAACTGGTTACATGGTTTTTCTCAAACTGGTAATATATTTTTGTGCACATTTAAATATTATAATTCTCAATTTAGTTATTTTTTAATATTTAACTAATTGAAACTGCATACATGAAGTGTTAGATACGCCATAAGTTTCATGATTTTTTAAGGAGTTTATTTTTTACTTTTTTATGGTTGGAATATTGTCATATTTTTTGTGTTTTATTGTGATCATTGCGAAACAGTTAGGTTAATATTTCTATTTAGATATTTATACTTTTACTTGAAAAAAAACTTAATAAATATTATAAAGATAATTTTATTTGTGGATTTGATTAACAAGTAGTAACATTAACACCATGTAATATTGTTTTGTCGATATTTATAATAATATTTTTAAATTATAATTTATAATTTAATATAATAATTATAAAAAAATATATAACTTTTAAAAAAGTGGGCTGGCCCGGCAAGCCTGTAGCCCACGTACTTGTGGGTTAGGCCGACCGTTTTCTGGCCCACACAAAAAATGGGCTAGCCTGACCTGACTCGTAAAA